GGAGGGCATGAGGGCGTCCGTGGGCAGGGGAAGCGCCGTGTCTGCAAGCACAGCTTGTAAGTGGTTTCGCTCAGGAGTTGGTCTGGACTCAGAAGGTTGTTTAGGTTGTTTTTTTAAAATGGTGTGCGAGGTGTGTTCCACCTGGCAAAAAAACCCACAAACTTTTACTTTGGATTTCATCGGATTAAAAAATGTTTTTGGAATTTTACCTAAGAGTTGAGAATTTAAGGTGTTCTTTGAGTTCTTTACCTGCTGTAGTACATTACGAAAACTCATATATTCTTTCATGGTAGATCAGTATGTCTGCTTTCTTTTAAGGAGACTATCTGGTGACAATTGAGGAAAAAAGCAAAGCAACTTTCCTGAGAGCCTACATGAACTGGAGATGCATGTCTGCAGGGAGTTCTCGCGTTTGTGTTCGGATGGTTGGTCACAAGGTGGAGGAATCATACAGCGAAACCTTAAAAGAACAGATGTCGATTGTGGAAATGCCGCTTTCAGATCCTCCGCTGTGTATTTCATGTTGTCCTGTAAATGGAGATCTTCTTGTGGGCTGCAAAAATAAACTGGTCATGTTCCGTTTGAAATACCTGGTCATAAACGAGAATTTGACTATGTTAGACTTTGAACGCTCCTTAATTTTACACATTCATGACCTCATTTAAGTTGCATTTTGTGCCAGACATGTAGCCATAACAACAGAGCTGGATGTTCTGATCCTGAAACTGGAACCGATCCAGCAAAGCGCGGATGGGACAGAGCAGGGTGCACATAGAGTTGATATGGTAGAAAAGCCTGTGGATAGAGGTAAGTACAGAAATTACGGGGTTTTTTATTTCCATGAATCTGCTGGCTGATTCCTGTTATTCTCAAAGTAGGCTCAAACAAGATCGTTGCCCTTCAAAAAATATTTTGTGATTGTTTGCAGAATATCGGGTGAGTACTCTGCTGCATGAGGAATTGTACCGCCTGCAGTTGGAGGTAACGCTTAGATGTGCCGTCACTCTGCAGGCACTTTCTTGCTAGTGCAGCCTCTACAGACATAGAAATAGGTCCCCGTTTTAGAGTGCTACCACGGGCCAAATCAAAGCAGTAGTCGTTCAGTGTGCTGTGTTCAGAAAACTTGCTCTATCAGTGTCTTTGCGCAAGTTACGGTGTCTCTTCTGAGGGACAAATGGGAGGCCACAAGCAAGAAGCATCTCGTAAACCTTGAAAAGGGCCGTGCATACTTGCTTACACATTTAAGAATGCTTCTGTGGTGATGTACGTGAGCTTCTGTAACTGGTAGTAGGCTCAGAACCTCCATAAACAATGTGCCAGCAAATTCTCCTTTTTTCAGTCCTTTGTCTTACTCAGGGACTTGCCTGAGAAGCTTAGAAATCTGAGAAATAGATTTAGTCAGTAGGTTCAATTCCCGTATATTACGAGAAATCAATCCTTATTAAGTCAGTTGCCACTTTTCCGGAAGTATCTGATGAACACCAACAAACTTTAGGAAACTCCTTCATTTATCATTGAAGAAACTTAAACCAGAAAAGGATAGTCTTTTAGAAATGGAAACTGTGCCTAGAAAAAAATTAAAGGTAAGTAAGACTTGTCAGATAGAGAAAATGTTCTTCAATGAGTGAAGATGGATCTTAGATAATGATAACCCGCCTCTACTTGGTTTTATTATTATAAACTAAACTGAAAAGTTCAGATTACTTTCTGAGCGCTGTTAGAATTTGCTTTCCAGAGCTGAAGTGAGTGTAAGATAACACAGCTTTCTGTCGTAGCTGCCTTTTCCTTAAAGCCTTTGCAGCCCAAGACAATGGTTTTTGATGACCAGCCATTTGAAGCACAGGTTGCTTTGGACATAAAACAGTTTACCTGTTCTTTCAGAAATCTTGACTCTTAGGTATTGAGACTGTTGAGTCTTAAATGAAGGACTGTTGTCATGTAGCGTAGCTGTTTTCAAATCTCATGGTTTGAGGAAGCCAGTGCTAGCTAGATAGCTGTAATGGGAGTATTGACACTGTGTCCTCTCTTTCTTGCTGCTAAATTGAATGATTTGAACAATTAACATAGCATTTTTATTAAGGTATGAAAAGTGAAGGCCCTTCACCACATGGTTTGCAGCTTGAATTAGATGAGTTCATCATATGTCAGAAGCCAGTGGAACTGCTTGGAGAAGAAAGTAAACTATGTGAGATCCCCGTCACGCTGGAATCCACAGAGTTGCCGACAGAAGACACAAAGTGCTTCCAAGTGCGGTATCTGCTTTTCAGGTATACAAATTTATTTTCACCTTTATGGATTAATATACTACAAGAAACCAGAATGAACTGTGGCTTACATCTTGTTGAAAGAAAAACTCTGGTATCATCGAATCAGAATTGTCAGGGTTGGAAGGGACCTTAAAGATCATCTCGTTCCAACCACCCGCGTTCCAACCCCCCGCCATGGGCAGGGACATCCCCCCTAGATCAGGCTGCTCAGAGCCCCATCCAGCCTGGCCTTAAAGATTCCCAGGGATGGGGCTGCCACCCCCTCTCTGGGCAACCTGTGCCAGGGTCTCCCCACCCTCCTGAGGAATAACTTCTTCCTCACGTCCAATCTGAACCGACCCATCTCTGGCTTCAGTCCGTTCCCTCTAGTCCTGTCACTGCTTTCTTGTAGCCCCCTTGAGATACTGGAAGCCACAATAAGGTCTCCTCAGAGCCTTCTTTCCTGCAGACTGAACAACCCCAACTCTGTCAGTCTGGCTTCATAGGAGAGGTTCTCCAGCCCTCTGAGCGTCCTCGTGGCCCTTCTGGACACACTTCAGCACGTCCAGATCTTTCATGTACTGTGGGCTCCAGAATTGGGCGCAGTAGTCCAGGTGGGGTCTCACAAGAGTTTTTGTGATTTTGGCGGGGAGGGGGTGGTGGGTTTTTTTTTGCACTGAGGAAATAAGCCCATTTTTTAGTGGAATAGAATATTTCAGTTGGAAGGACCAGCAATGATCAGCTGATCCAACTGCCTGACCACTTCAGGGCTGACCCAGTGTTAAAGCACATTATTAAGGGCATTGTCCAAATGCGTCTTAAACAGTGGCAGGGTTTGGGGAATGACCACCTCTCTTGGACGCGTGCTTGCCCTCTCGGTAGAGAAATGCTTCCTAACGTCCAGTCTGAACCTCCACTGACGGACGCAGCTTTGAACCGTTCCCAGCATCCCATCCCTGGGTGTCAGGGAGAAGAGATCAGCACCTCCCTCTCCACATCCCCTCCTGTGAGGTCCCCTCTCAGGCTCCTTTTCTCCAAACCAGACAAGCCCAGAGTGCTCAGCGGCTTCTCACAGGACATGGCTTCCAGCCCCTTCACCACCTTGGTTGTCCTCCTCTGGGTGTGTTCAAGAACCTTCACATCCTTCTCTAGTGGCGGGGCCTAGCACTGCACATAGTGCTCAAGTGAGGCCACACTGACACTGAACCCAGACAACCCTGTCTCTTGACCAGCTGGTCAGCCTGGGTTTGATGCCCCCCAGGGTGAGGTTTGCCCTCGTGGTGCCCGGGCACACAGCTGGCTCACACTGAGCCTGCAGCTGACAAACCCCAGAGCTCTTTCTGCACAGCTGCTCTCCAGGCACTCCTCTCCCAGTTCAGACTGGTGCCTGGCATTACTCCATCCCAGGTGCAGAATCCAGCACTTGGACATGTTCCATGTCGTGCCGCTGAACATTGCCCAAAGCTCCATTCTGTCCTGATCCCTTTGCAAAGCCTTGTGACTCTCAAGAGAGCCAACAGCAGCTCCCAGTTTGGTATCGTCAGCAAACTCTCTAATGGGAAATTCAACTCCTTCATCCACATCGTGGATCAAGCTGTTGAACAGCGCTGGCCCTTGGACTGAGCTGTGGTGACTGGTCTCCAGCCAGACGCAGCCCCATTCGCTCTAACCCTTTGAGCCCTGCCATCCGGCCAGTTCTTTACCCAGCACACTGTGAATGTCCTCCTCTAGCAGTTGGACAACTTTTGGCCTTGCAAGTCCTAAGTTTCATTTTATTTGGGAATGTGGTTTTTACAATGAAACTGGAATAGAACTTTGGCGATTTTGCATATCTAGTGATGTTTAATGCTGGCTTTCATCATACATCCTTGTATGCTGCAAAGAGCATGTGTGGCAGCTTGTAACGGATCAAAAGGGATGGTCTTTGCTCAGCATATAGAATGACAGAATCATTTGGCTTGGAAGGGACCTCCTGAGACTATCTAGTCCAGTACCCCGCCGCTTTCCTTCTCAGGCAAGGTCAGCTGGCTAGTCAGGTTTTGAGTATCTCTGCAGATGGAGACTCCACAACCTCTCTGGGCAACCTGCTGCAGTGTCTGAACCACCCACAGTTTTTATACTTTGGTGCTGAGGTAGTGAAACCAAGTTTTACACACCTTATTTTGAAGCGACTTGTGTAAAATGCTGTTGTGGTTTGCCTACTTTAAAGGACTACACACAAGACTAATCAGCAGTCTTGTCTGTGTGACCTTAATTAAAGTATTGCCTTCTGTTAATTTATTCTGCAGCTTTTGTCAACTTCAGTCAAAGTGATACTTATTTGAGTACCTCTAAAACAATACATTGGCCCTTTCTCTAGCCAGCGAAGGGAGTTTGTATTAAGCTACTAAACTTCTATCCGAAAACTGAGGAAGAATTAATACCACAGTGCAGCAGTGAATTCCAAAGCAAAGCAGGGAAAAAGGTGACACATAATAGGAAAGTAAGAATGGAGGTGTCACCGTGTTACACATAGTTCAGTTGAATAGAAAGAGAGGGGGGAAGAAAGGTTATGCTGAGGTTCAGAGCAATTGCAGTGTGTCTTCCAGTGATCCCAAACTCTGACATGTTTTGTAGGCAAGCGAAGAAAGAGGATTCTGGTTGCAAGAGCTCAAAGATAGTTGTCTGTAGCTGTGCCACGTGCTTCTTGGCATTGCCAGGCTAATTACATTAATAGTAGGATTGCACATTGTTGTTGAGTATTAAAACATCAGCGATGCGTGTTATAGCTAGTGCTGTTTACCTGTCCAACGTAGCTCATCGTAATTTCTCACTGAAGGCCCACATTGTTTCTCTGGATTTTTTCCTCTAGACGTTTTACACCTGACCAGTCGCCTTTTGGGTTTTGTGAAGAGACAAAGTTGCACTCTGTTCAGCTGCTTCCTGTGTACCAGACAGGTATATGGATATGTATGGATGCAATATGGGCTGTGTCACAGGAGACCTGGGAAAGGAAGGAGCCTCTTTGTATTTGTTTTGTACAGTTTCTATATGATTTGTTTTTAAATTAAGTTCTTCCCTTGTCAATGATTGAAACTGAGCTTCTGTTAACAAAAAAGTCTTTTAAGTTTCTTCGAGTTCTGCATAAACCTTGAACTATCAACTCACCACACCAGAGGGAGACTTATTCAGCTTTTATCAGTTGTCTGCTGCTTAATTTTATGTCATAAACCAGTCACTCGTTACACTGTATTAATAAAATGATCCTCAGCGTTATCCTAGGTGGAAAGCAGAATAGTGAACCTTAATGGTCATTAAGATACAGGTTACTTTTCTGCCAGGCTTGAATTAAAATTGCAAGGGATGAACGCAGATTTTGGAGTTCGCTAATACACACTAGCTCAAGCCCCGACAGACCCACAGAAAAATTAACTCCTGTGTGTTTTGGGTCAGCTTTACTGACAGCTCACCTGCTTTGTGGTTGGTTGTCTGCTAGGTAGCAAAGCCTCGTTTAAGTCCAACTATCTTATGTTCTCGTGTGATTTACAGTCTTTGACAAGAGGGTCTGTAGAATTCGAACACAGCCTTTACCTGCCAAAGTGGCTTTATAAATAAATTCAGCCACTCCCAGCCTTTCCTTTAAGTGGGGACGTCTGGTTTGGTGCACTGCAGCTGCAGCTCCGGATGAGCTCATCCCAGCTGACAAGCAGTTGTCTAAAATCAGGCTGATCCACGGATGTTTAGTTGTAGTGAATCTGCCAGGACTCTCAGATGCTGTAGAATCCGTGGAATTTCTTCATTCAGTGGTACCACCCGCACTTGTGTTAAAAATGCCTCTGAATGAGATAACGTGACGTACAGATTTTTGACCTGTGCAGAGACCTGACCCAGTGATCTTCATATAGTTCTCTCCACTAATTGCTGACAAAACCAGTCTGCAGCCTGGGCAGGATAGATAGTATCTTTGAGGTATCAGACTTGCAAAGGATTTGCCAAGTTTTTATTTATAAGGTATATAAAATGCCTTTCTTATTGATAAATCTAGGAAGTTCCGTGACAGCCCATGAAGAAGCTGAGAACAAGAGAGAACTACTGAGTCTCTTTTGCTTTTTCTCCTTACCTCACGTTGGATATCTCTACTCTCTTGGGAAGTTAGTAGAACTGATTTCTACTTATCAATATTCAGAGAAGTCGGAGCAGGCAGTTCTTACTCCACAATTCCTGCACGTCATTACAAGGTACATTTATGATTTTGTTGGTAGCATTACTACGTTTCCCTAGGCTGGTGCTTTTCTTTTTTTTTTTTTCCCCCGCCTCTCCCTTCCCCTCCGATATGTCCTTCATAGCCTCTTGGAACTCTCTGTGCAGGCTTATGTGGCACTGCAGCATGTGCCCCTGCTTAGTCTTTTATAGTCTTGGCTGCTTGATTTTTGCAAGTCATCTTTTTTTTTTTTGTACTTTATTACTGTGCTGTCTTCTTTCCCTCTAGTGAGAACCTGCAGTGCTTCACAGTGCGATGCAGTGCAGCAGCAGCTCGAGATGAGGATCCGTATATCGATACGACTGTGAAGGTGCCCTTGTCTTTATCCTGCTAAAAGAATGAGGGTAGTAGTATGGCACTTAGTTTCCTTCTGAAATCCTGTTAGTTCCTGTTGGCTGAACCAACAAAATAACATCCAAAATTACTATTTTGCTTCAGCCTTTGGCATATTGTATTTTAATGGTCTCTAAATGTCTCAGTGAAGCTATATGATATTGGCATTTTAAGATTCTGGACCATTAGTTTTCAAAAACATCCAAAGCTATTAAATCCCTTACAACTTCAAGCTAAATTCCATGTTTTCCTGCGTAAATCTGAATGAAGGGTGCAGTGTTTTCCTGTATTGCTCTCAGGTGTCCTTGAAAAAAACAAGAAAAGTGTAGATACTTTTGAACGAGTCTGCTGCCAGATACTTAGTGTGTGATTTTTAGGAGGAGGGATTTTGATCCTTGGAGGTCTAGACTTTTCCCCTTCCTTAAATTGCTTGTTAGTAAAAATCTACTTAATTGTAAAGATTGAGATATGCATTAACAAAAATATCAGGAAAGATAGAATGAAGTTTATTTTAAGTAAGTATTTGAGGGTTTCTTTTGAGCATGTGGACAGCAGACATAAACTGTAGGGCAGTAGAAATAGCGTAACATTTTCAAGAGCCAAACACGTATTCCCTGCTTTCCATAGAGGTACTGGGATAAAGAGTGCAAACACATGGCCGTGATCTGTCCCGTCCCTTCTCCAGTCTCAGTTCTCTGTGTTTTCGCTGGGGGCTGCGTTCGGTTCATCACAGTTCCTCCAGCCAGGGGATGGGCTGCCTCTCGCTTCAGCATTCCTTGAGGAGATGTGCCCGTCGTGGTCTGCAGGACGCGGCCCCGCGTGGATGTCCGGGCTGCAGACCCGCTCTGGCGTGGCTCCTCCATGGGCCGCTGTCCCCCTGGGGCATCCCTGCCCTTTCGCCGGTCCTTGGTGGGCCACAATCCCCCGGGTGGTGCGAGTTGTCACGGGCTGCAGCCCCTCGGGTATGCAGGTTGTCCGTGGCCACCGTCCCTCTGAGCTGCCCCTGCTCTGAGGGAGGTTGCCCACCGGCTGCGTTTCCTCAGAGGTGTTCCTGCCTGACTGGAGTTTGAAGTGTGATGATGGTGGTTATTATTATTATTCGTTGTTAGTATTTTTCCTGTTGTGTTTTCTTTTTTACCCTCCGTTCAGAGCTGGCTGGCTCTGGTTCTCACTAGGCCAAGGGGGTTTAGAGCCTCCTGGTCAGCACTGCAACCCTCTGTCTCTTTACAAGAAATTCTGAGGTTTCTTCGGAAAGCAGAGTACACCTATCATGCTGTGGTACCTTGCTTCACTGTGTATGTTATTTGTAATTAAGGTATTTTATTTTCTTAAAGCTGTAAATTCAGACTATTTCTTGGAAAATGAGCTTGCACTTTCCCATTTTTAGTCCGCTACAGACAGTAGGATGAGTTTTACCTGAAAGGTGCATGTTGAACAAATCAGGCATGCAATACTGGGTGTGTAATATAACAGTAGGCAAGTGAGTGTGTTTAGTGTCAGATAATTGGACAAAGATTTCGCTGTTCTTTTTATTTATTTAAAGACTCAGAGTACGTACTAACTGAAATTACAAAACAATCACTTCCCTTTACAGGCCTGTCCCCCTGTTGCACTGGATATCTGCACATTAAGAATGCAGCTTTTTATAGGACCAAGAGCTATCTGTCATTTCAAAAACCATATAATTCTTTTGACTAAGGCAGACACAGAAGATATTACTGAAAGAAGAAAGCCTGCAAGAAGGATGCTGTAAGGATTTGTATCTTTGGGGGAGATGGTCTTTATAGTTCTGTGTACAGTGCTGAATTTGTGGGTGTTGGAGCTGAAGAGAGGTTCCTCTGTGGAAAAAGTGGGAATTTAGTGCATGAGAACAGAAATCAAGCGTTTATTTTTTCCATTTCTATTGTAATTAACTGATGTAGAAGAAATGAGAGTAGGGTCACAAAAGTTTGAAAACAACAAAATAAGTTAGTCAAGATTGTAAAAAAACAACTTTCATAAGTAATATTAAGATAACATTACTAAGAAGGGATTTGATACTGAGAAGAAAAAATATGTGAGAAACAAAAATATGTAGGAGTACCAAAGCTACAGGCCAAGAAAATAAGTTGTAGCACAAGATGACGATGTCATACATTTGGCTTAGGCTTCTTTCCCAGCAAATGAACATGAACATCACTGTAGTAATCCATGACAAAAGAAGGACTGGACTTTGTCCCAAGATACTCTTGTAGCACCTGTGTAGCTAGAGGCATTTGTCACTTTTTTTATCTATTCCCGTGAGAACTGCTATTCCCATTCTCTTTTGAGGGCTTTTCATAAAACAGCTGAACAGCTGTTCTTAAACAACTGCTTTTTAGAATCAAAAACACATTTATTAAAGTTGGTTCAAGTTCATTAAGGAAAGTGGGACAGCTATAGTTGATTGAAGAGTTATTTGAACCGACGTTTCTTAAAGCCTAGAGCACACATTATTCAGGAGGAGATAGAGATAAGCACATCAAGGAGAAGGATAATTAAAAATGCTGTAGTTTTCTGTGTACAGAGCAGAGTTTCTCCGTCCAGTTGTGTTGTTTCAAAGAATATAGTTGCCATTTGAGGAAGATAGGCTTTTTGCCTTCTGTAAAGAACACCAGTTGAACAAATACTAGTCTAAACACCGTAGTTGGGAAATAAAAATGTAAATACCCCACAATAGTTAAAACCAATAAACCGGAACAAGAAGAATGTGTGTTTTCCTACAGTGTTTTAATCTAGGGGCATTACAGACCTAGCCAATATGTTAGAAGTGGTCAAATGTATTTTTACACCATGACTCGTCAGACACTTTAATAGAGCTGCAGGGGCAAATACGCAGTAAGCCCTCACAGAAGGTAAGTAAGCAACTTGGCTAATTTGAATTACTTCATGTCAGTGTCTGGTTCTCCCTGGTGTTAAGCCTGGGAGAAGATGTAGTAGTTTTGATGGTGTTTCTGGTGTATGAATATGCTTATTCCTGTTATTGTTAGCCATTGCTAATAACTTAAATTCACAGCTTACCTCTCAGGCATTCTTTAGCCTGCAAACATACCTAGTTATGTGTTAAAATTACCAAGTGAGGGGGATTTTTTTGACTGCATAGTGTTTATTTGGACACTGACAACTCAACTCTTTTCCTTCTTTCTAGCTCCAGAAAGGCTGACGGCATCAAATCCAGAACAAATTCTGAGTCAGAGCCTGGTTGGAATTTATATATTATAAACACTGTTTCAACCATTCAGCTTTACAGAGAAATGGTATTGCCCGTCTCCTGCTTTTGTTATCTAGTGGCTAAAAATAAGTACTGTCAATTAATCTCTGATGCGTGTCATGGCTAAATATAATATTAAGTATTTCTCCTGAGTAGCCCGTAATCGTGTTTCAAGTGACTGCTGCCCTCGTTAGAATTGTTCCTGTATATTCTTATTTTTTGCCAGCAGCCTAAGTCTATCCTCTATCTATTCTAGGTAGACTATAGTAGAACTTACGAAAATGTAAAAACTGAGAGTTGCATCCATCTTCTGAGTGAGGCTCACTTACTGGTCAGAGCAGCTATAATGGACCCTCGTTTCGTTAAATCAGAGGAGAGAGAAGAACTGATGAGAGCGTTCAGAGAAAGTTGTGCTGCCTTAGGAGACTGCTACAGCAGGTATGTGTTAGATGTCAGAGTGATAAGAGGTGAGCTTTTGTTTCCAATAATGTAAGCTTAAAATGAAAATCCATCATTCTTCGCTGGTTTATGTTAGTATTTTTATGTAATGCGTATTTTTATGTTCTACAAGAACAGCTTAATCTAGTAATCCCTTTAGTATCGATTGTCTTTGTTGTCCTTGAACTCAGAATGTAACACTGAATATGAGCTATGTATTTGCAGATTGTGTCTGCAGCTGTGTTTAATATATTATTTTAGTTCTTACAGTCATGGCAAAAATGTTGCTTTTAGTTGTTTTGTGGACTTTTTTCCCCCTCCCTCTCTGTTACCTTCAGGTGTGACACAAAGGATTACCACCTTGCTTTGCCGTACTACAGAATGTCAGGGTTATCCATGACTGACGTTTTAAAGAGACTAGTTTTAGAAGGTGATGAAATGCAAACGTATGAGAGGGGATTTATATTTTACTTAACTCACTCTCTGAATGAAGACTTAAATGAAGAATTAACTAAGGTAACAGCAAGGGGTTTTTTCTTGATTTTTTATTTTATTCTGATTTTAAGAACTACATATCGAATTTCAATTAAATTCCTTTTTAAACTGCTGAGCTGTTTGTTTAGTTTTACAGTTGTTCTTTTTCACATGCTTTTTACCTCCCCGTTTTTGTTGACAAAATAGCCAGCAGCACCTGTGACGCTTTGGGCTGCTTTCAGGCAGCATATTACTGGTTTGGCTCTCATGATGTACACTGCTGATGATCTGGTTCCCTCGTGCACACAGACACACTTTCATTTTAAGAGAGCTCCGCCTCAAATTTCTTTCATCTCCAATTCCTGTAACAAAACAAACTCTTTCCTTGGAACATTGCCAAATTGTACAGGTTGGTAAAACCAATTCACTGTGGTGGTGGTTGATCTCCTAGCAGCCCGAAATACTGCCGGTTAGAGATCCTTTACCTTTATCAATAGGATGGAAAGAGGCAGAAGGCAGTCACTTGGTAGCCAAACTGTGCCTGTCTTTTTTATAAAAAAAAACACCAATGAAAAAACAAGCAAACCCAAACACAACGGCAGTACTTTAATGTGCCATTGAAGACTGTTCATCTAAACTGTCAACCGGCTTTTATTTCAATAGGAATCAGCAAACAGAGTTCTCCGTATATTCTATCATGCTGACCCTGTGCAGCTGCCTCATATCCTCTGCAGCCCCTGCATGAGAAACACGTGTCCTTTGACAGCTCTGAAGTATCTTCAGAAAGTAGAACATGTTATGCCATCGGTGGTCCTGACGCTTACTAAGGCTTTCATGGCTCTGAAAATGGGAGACCTGACGATGTACGAACGTGAGATGGACTCCTATAAGGAGGTAAAGTGTGCTGCGTGCGTCAGCTGTGCGTGCTTTGCGGAGCCCGAGTCAGTAGGTGTGGCTTGTGGCTGTATTTTACGGTAAAAGAAACTTTCAGTCACTGCTCTTGCTCCTGGTACGCCACGTAAGCTCCAGTGAATGTCCGCAGTAACAGTAGAAAGCAGGGCTGGCATAAACTGGGACTGTACTGCTTACCTTGTATGGAGGGTAGTTTTACCTTGGCAAAGCCTTACTGACTAAGCAAATGTTTTCAAAGATGTTAATTCTTGATAAATTAAATGCTGTTTCCTGGGGTATAACAAGCTCTGCAGAGCCAGTGCTCTTCAGCAGTGTGGCAGGGTTGTACAGGAGCGTTTTTACATCCCTCCAGCTGTAATGAGTACGTGATACACCCACGTACTATTACATCTCACCTTTAAAAAGCATTTTGTGTCAACGTGGAGAAAATAATACTTTCAGAAAGATGAAGAAAGGAGAGAGTTAGGGTTAGGGGGATCCTCATGTGTTGCCTGATCTAGCTGAGAGGTGTCCCTGCCCATGACAGGGAGGTTGGATTAAATGATCTCTAAGGTCCCTTCCAGCCTGGGCCATTCTATGATTCTATGATAGTTTGTATGCATAGAGGGGTGAAATTTGAGTTTTCCTCCTACGTCTGCCTTATATTTCCTATGTAATTCTTCAGCCAGTGATTTTTCAAAACACCATGTGTATTGAATGTTTTGAATTTCATAGTGAAATCTGTCTTACGTGCACAGTAATTCCAGGTTACAGCAGGATGGTACTTTCAGTGTTCAGGCAAATTGCCTGTTGCTCAGGAGTCACTGCTCTGGCACATGGTTTGGAGCTCAGTTTCCGGAGAGTTGCTCTATAAATTGTAGAAAAGATTTATTTGCTTCCCCTAACTTTGCTTCATTTTGTTGTCTGAACTTCACTCCCTGGGGAAATACTGTGTTTGCTGAGTTGAATCCTGTTTGGATTGAATTCTTAACCCGATTTATATCTGACTGTGTTTGTAGACAGTACTGGCTTGTGGCTTTGTTGGGCAACCGAAACTCTTGATACAGCGTAAGGAAGGAATTGTTACGCCAACCGAGTTTGCTGTTCACCTGAAGGAGATGCACCCTGGTTTACTAGTGGCTGCTACTGTGGCTTTACATGAGAACAGTAAAATCGAACTGGAAGAAGCAGATACCTTTTTCAAGGTCGGTGTATGATCATTTTTTCCTCCATTTTTCTTGTGGTCGTGTTGTTATGGGTAAGCAAAGCAGCCTTGGTTGCTTCTTGACTCACATTTTAGCACTTCTTCAGAAAGAGGGAGATGAATGTTATATATATTCCAGTCGTGATAGATTACTACAGAGTCAGCAACTGGATCTTCTGGAAAGAAGTACTGGTTAAATCAAACAAAAACCTATTGCATTAAGTTCTTGGTTTTGACCCTGTCATTTCACTGGAAAATATCTTGATCTTTCAATGACTTCCTACTGAAATTTAACAGACTTCAGATAAATCAATTCCATAAACTCCTTTTGAAGAAATCATTAGGATTGAAACATACTTCTAAAGAATCAGATTTACGTATGAAGGTAGGTAATGTTCTGATGTTCTGTATAAATTTCTGGAAGAAGAGTGGGTCTCTGCAGTTTATGACAAACATAAATAGAATAGTTTTTCTGCTGTCAATGAAGTTCATTTATATGGGCAATATACAAACCCTTTTTCTTTTCTCTCCAGTGAATAACATTGTTTGGATTAAACCCATATATTTTTCAGTGTAGGTGTGCTGCAGTCGTATCTCTGTTACAGTGAAAGGCCTGTATCAGAAATGCCAAGTGATGAAAGTCAAATTAGGGCAAGTGCTGCTGTTCAGAGGCAGTTGGTAACCAAGTAAAAGTCCCTTTTGCTGACACACCAGACCTTAATGCAGAGCTCCGCAGTGTTTCTCAGCATGGTCTTTAGATTCATCTTTTAAAGGCGTGTGCTTGGCCGCTATTAGCATATATAAAATCCTCCAAATTAGCTTTCTGTAAATACGTGCTGACAGTGTGCGGTCATTTTTGGCAGTGGAGTAAATCTCCAAGAAGAAATCAAGCCTATCATTTAGAACCAATTACCTTAAAATCATTCCATGAGCTTTTTGCTTTGCCTAGCACTATTATGTAGATCACATCAAGACAAAAAGGAATCAAAATTCTGCTTCTAGTAGTAGTGAAAAACTCTTCACTCTGTTTCTTCTAACTTCTGTTACTAATAATTACTGTAGTCTGTGCTAACTTGCTGTTGTGTAACATTTTTTTTCTTAGGCGTTGTGTAGTAACAGTGAAAACGCTGTTCCTCAGCTCTTGGTGGATTTCTGGGAAGCTCTTCTTGTAGTATGCTCTCAGGAGGAAATACTTCAGGAGCTTTTATTGAGGGTTACTTCTCAGTATGTTTGGAGAATACTGAAGAAAGAACGTCCTGAGACTAAGCCATTGAAAACAACAGAGGATCTGGTGAGCGTACCACGCAGAGGAAGTTTTATGACTGCATTGTCCCTTCAAAATCTATCCAAATAGTATTCTTAGTATTTCAGTTTGGGACAGTTCTTCTCTTGTAAGACTGAAAGCAAATAAGATAGTGTGCAGTTACCAAACAGGTATTGTTGGCTCTGGAGAGTCCTACTCTTTGGGGACAAATGTCCTTCCAACAGGAATCTCGGCTCTGGATAGAACCAAGGGCTAAAATGAAACTGTGAGAGTTTGTCAGGTGGAATGTTTGCAATTGGACAAACCTGACTAAATGAGAAAAATAAATGTGTGAGTGATTAATTTTAAAGGATTCTGAATGGGAAAGCTGAAATGCAGAATAAAATAGTAGTTTCCATTTTATTTGCACTAAAGTTTATGAACTAGAAGAAAGAGTAGCTGCTATTCTAAATTATGCTATTTGAGAGTAAAATTTTCTTCACTTATTGAGTTTCACATGGAACTGTCACTAACAGAGCTATTTCTTTCATTGCAACTTGATTCTTTCTCTTATAGATAAACTCCTGTAATCATTTTGGATTGATTTTCCCGTGGGTAACTTCCATAATGTCAGCAGGATCTCCATCTGATAAAGATTACCGTGAAGATATCTCAAGACTACAGGTACGAAACCCTGAAGCTTAGATCTGTTCTACAAATGTTCATTTATATATGCAGAACTTTCTGTAGCACACTCCCCTCCTCCTTCCACTTCAGGCTATCCAAGTTGAACTAAAAGGCCCGTTGAAATGGTGGAAGAAAAACATACTGAAGAGAAGTGTCGATAACAATTGTATTTACATTTGCACTCTACTCTAAACTTGCTTTCTGAGTTTTCAGTAACACTTATCAGTGATTTCAAAATAAAACTTCCTTGAATAAGTAAGGGCTGCTGTTCTAAGGCTATGGTTAGCGTTTTTTTGCAAAGTTTGCCTTAAATCCCAGCCATACTTTTTCTTCTTGTCTTCAGTCTCTTTTATGTAGTCAGTCCATCAACATAGCTTCAGCTCTGCCTGTCTTGGAGCCTCTGGCTGAGGCTGACGGTGTTGGCCTCGCCATCCACGTTCTGTGTAGCACCCGTCTAGGCAAGTATGAGGAAGCCATTGACCAGCTTCTTCAAAGGTGTCCCAGTGCAGCTGTAGCGTATGCTCAGCACGAGCTGAAAGGTGACAGTCGGGTGAGCTACTTTCATTGAAATTTTTCAGTTTTTTTTTTATTTGTGTGTTTATTTTCCAACTCAAATGCTATTGTGTACAGATGGACTCTGGAGGGATCAGCCAGACCAGCTTTCAAAGTGAATTGCTTTGCTTGCTTTGAACCTCTTGCTTGGCAAGGTTCTTCTGTGGCTTCTTGCATTCATTCCAGTAAATTTAAAACAGTATTTTCAAAGGGCAGAGGGCCTCCGAAAAGGGAGAGTAGTGTGTTCTTTTTCCACTGTAAGTTTTGGGGTTCTAAATCAGGGTTCTAAGTTGTTTCACAGTGTTTAGGTGCAAGGTGAAGTTTTAGTGATAAGCGAGCTGATAAGAGAACGTAGTCCTTCAACTAAAATCGCACTTAAATATGTTCTTGTCTTTAGTGACATCTTTGGACCTTATAACATTGGAATGGTACTGGTGCATTAGTGGAAAGATTATGTTCTTCATGTCCTATTTGCACCAAAAATTGAAAAATACATGCACGAAACCACTGCATTTTAAAGCATTATATAAAGTAACTATTGAGTTCATTGTATGTGTACACATCTGAGCTTAGTTCAGTATAATTTTAGCAGGATTTTCTTTCATACTCTTAATAATTTACACTTCTCCTGTGGGCTTTTGTGGATTAGGCTGTCTGGTGGAACAAGCTGCTTCCTGAACTTTGCAAGAGAACCAGACTTACTGGAAATGACTGCCCTGTTCTTATTTCATCACTGAGAGGTAAATCAGTTGATAGCAACTCGACTCCAGAAGACTTTGTATGTCATCTTGCATTCTATATACTGTTCAGGCTAAGGACTGCAGATCTGATAATTCAGAAAATAAAGGGGACCTTTTCCTGTATTTAAAGCGAGTGCAGCTTATGAGACTTGGCCCTCGTTAGCACAGGATTCTGCAGTGTACAGTGTGTTGTCTCATTTGTATTGAAAACAGTTAAATGGTTGGAATCATGTTGTTTCTATGCAGGTTATTAAAAAACCATACTAAATAGAACTACTAGATAATAATTTCTATAGATAAAATAGGTAGAATAATAGTAATTCCACGGCAGAAGGAGTGGAAGCAGGGACAAGTAGCCTGGGATAAGTATAGGGATGCTGCTTGGTTGTGTCTTTTGATACAAACTGTGAAGTACTAGATCAGACATCCATAAGCATTAGTGCAGACCTGATGAGTCAAGATAGAAGTACAGTTTTAATCTAAGATACAATTTTGGTTTACTTTTGAGATCTGCTGCAGTTGTATTTGCTCCCAGATAGGCATGTCTCAGATTTCATTCGGATAATTTGATGACTTCAGTTAGTCATGACGTCGTTAAATGTTTTTTCCTTTCTTTGATCTCAACCCAAAATACCTAACCAAGATTTTCTCCCTTGCTCTGAGCAGAAACTTTATCAGTTGTTGCAATGGAACTTGAACTAAGGGATTTCCTCAGTCTTGTACCAGAGGATGGGACTGCAGCATTTTTCCTGCCCCATCTTCTTCACTGCAGCCAGAGGAAGCTGCTGACCTAAAACAATGAAAGTCTACTGTGCCTTCAAATACAAAGAATGGGATGGAGAAGAAAAGTAAATGAAACAAACAGTAGGACTATGTGTAAGTTGCTGTGGGACTCCCCTCACATAAATCACCCTATTTCTCTGTTGAAACCTTATGGCAACTATTGAATGACAGACCTGTGTCTGAGGCGAAGCATCTGTTTTGAAGCTGATAATATCAATTCCTGCCAGGTAGAACGAAATGGTGGTTGGACTGGTAAAAACAGAGCGATTCAGCAGTCAGGCAGAATCACTCACCTTCACTGAGGGTGAACTTGCAGCCAGAAGGGCTAGAAAATGTGGGCTGGGCAGTGCAGTGGGACTGTGGTCACTGAAAGTAAGCAGGGGATCAGTCCTAATTCTACGTTCGTTAGTTGGATCACTGACCTACGGAGGAATTTAAGCTCAGGTGTGTATCTAACTGTACGAGTAAAAGTCAGTGCCTTCCAAGTGGAATTGGGCCCCACTTCATTTTACAACACTGTCACTTAAATTCCAGCTTGTAAAACCAGTCAGCTGCTCTGTCATCTTACATACTCATGCAGCTCTTCAGTGGAAGAGGTTTTCATTTAGCAAGAAATGAAGAAAGGCCATAAACCTAAGAGAAACCAAAGTGGAAGATACTACTGCTTGCTTGCTCTTCTTTGTTTTCTTACTTCTTGTGTTGTACTCAGTCAATAGACAAATATTTGAAGTATTCCTAGGCCAGAAATCCTGTTGAAAATGCTTATTTCTTCTAGATATTTTTGTAAGTGTCTCAGATACCTGTGCATATCTATATACTGTTGTTTGTAATGTCTTTTGGGCCGAAACCATCCTTCTGTTCCGTCAGCTGGAGTTCAGTCGTAATAAACTGTCACAATGTTTATGACCTTGTTATCAATGCAGTTTGTTTTTTGAGAACCTACCACAAATAAAGCAATGACTCTGTGATTCCCAATAGTTTCTATTACTTATGTAGCAACCCTGATACAGCCAAAAATTCAACGACTAGGGACTGTGCTGGTTTCAGTTGAATCTTTCTACTTCAAAGAAGGCCAAAGACATTCAGGTGTGATACAGAGAGGTAACTTCCTTTTTTCTGGTAGCTGTAAAGCCAAAGGAGTTATTTTATGTGCCTGTCCTACGCATCCTTCCCTCTTGTTTGACACAGGTCTAACACTCGTGGGGTTGGGCAGAATGATACCTGCTCACTGCTTTGATTTTTGACTGGCATCACTCATGCATTTATACTGCTGCTTCCATCTGTCACAAAATGCTTAATTTGCCCAGGTCTGCTCTACATAACTAACAGCAACACCTGCAGGTGGTGTTCAAGATTCATCAGAGCAAAGCTTTTACGTATAGTAATCACCAAACTTTGCCCTTCACTGTCTGAATTTCATCAGGCTTATTTCAGCACAACTTTGTCTTGTAATTATTCTCTGCAACCATAATCCCATTGCCATTGTGTCTTTTAAATTCACTATTTTTAAAGAAAGACGTTACTGGGTAAAATTATAAAATAATTCAACAGAAATAGAACTATTTTGTTAGCTGTTCAGTTATACAATAGTATATATATATTTTAAGTGTGACCCTATGGATAAAGTGATAACCAACCTCCTATTTTCCAAGCATAGTTAACTGTGACAGCAGATATTTAAAACAAATTTTAATATTATGGAGGGTTATTTACAAACAAATTAACAAAAGAAGGAAAGTACATTTCGTTTGGCGTTTCCCTTTCCTCAGCAGTTAAGTAACACGCATTAGGCATCACCTAAAATATGTTTAGTTTGGAAGATATTTATAAGCTGTTACATCCCTTCAGCTTTCTTAGTCTATGGTCCTTTTGTTAGCCTCGGGTCACCAAATGAAATCTTTCAAAACACACATGAAGGTGAATTTTCCAGGAGATAGTATTTCTCAAGAAATTCTTCCCCGAAGGTAGACCTTGGAGAATCACTGAGGTAAATGTTCTCATCATTCTGGTGTGCCTGCTGTACCTTTACACTTGAAATGATGGAATAATCTTGGGAACAAAGACTGTTTGTCTGTAAGGGGGAAAACAGCTTTCGTTACACATATTTTATCAAAAGAATAGTCTATACGTACAGACAACAGGAGTTCAAAAATGAGCGCAATGGATCCCAGTACGTTGTAGATATTGTGAGTCGTTTTAAAACAACTTTAAAATGCACTGAAGGGTACATTTTAAAGCACTTAGATGGCTGATTATGAAAAATCCAACATACTGCTTTTACAAGTTAAAGTCTGTCTCTGCATCTCTTTCTGTGTATCCATAAAGTCACCCTTTTTATTACCTGGGCAAGCTTGGCACAATGTATTCTGTAAATGAGAATGGTTTATAAAGTAGAACTAGGTTGTGTTTAGCATCCCAGTCTGGTTTTAGCATATATACATACTATATTGTATCTCTGTGTATATATACATACACATTTTGAAACGTTCCTGCTGTATGCTTCCTGTCATTTAACTCTATATATTTATTACCTGCAGTCTTTTGAGTAAAGAAAGCTGTTGTGTTTTAAATTATATTAACTTCGTAGAAAATTCAGTTGTTTTCACAGGTAATATTGCTAAAGGAAGGTAATGCAACCTGTAAAGCTAAAACATGTCCTTCAGAAAGAAAACGCTATTTTGTTTTTTCAGCACTTAAAACTGTTAGGGATAATGACTTTGGCTTTATCTACCATCTGTTCCTTTTGTTTTAAATGAGGATTTGAGAGGGAGCCTGACACTACTGGAACTTCTTGGGTGCAGAAATACACTGTCTCATGAAGACTTCGTTTTAAATAAAAATCCATCGTGTTAATTTGATGGAAAGCTGAAACAACAGTCAGTTAACATTCAGTCCTTTAGCTACTTCTGGTTTCTGAGCAGCACCAAGGCAAGTATGGCTGGGTGGCTTACGAAATTTTTGGCCTCCACATACCAATACTAAGTCATGGAATATTACTGGATGCCTGAACTGGTTCCAAGCATGCTGTCAGCCGCATTCTGCATCTTAAACATGATGAACATCACGGACAGAAGTTCCTACCTTGCCTTGGGAGCACCGTGTAGGTTGTTTCCATGCCACCGTGGATGTGGTCAGTAACGTGACAGTGCAGTAGCCAGGTCCCAGGGTTCTGCGGGGTCATTTCCACAGTTTGAAATGTCCCAGGGAACAGATCAAAGACATCTGCGTGGTAAACCCCTGTTTGCTTTGGGACAAAAAGAAATAATAACTTGGAATGTTACCGATTAGCACATGCCACTGGCAGATTGTCTCTTTGAGTGTTGATCAAATATAGGTTTGGGGCATCAGAACTTCCTGGTCAAATTCCAGGTGCTGCTTTTATATTGTAGCATTAGACTGCACCAGAGATTACAGTCCTTGGTGTCTGATCTACCCCTCACGCTTGACACAGCAAGAAATGTGTGGAAAGGACTCGTTACCTTGTACTCGAAGCTGTGGCCATGGAAGTGTGCAGTGTGAATATCTATTTCATTGCCCATTCCCATCAAGTACCAGCTCACTTTGTCTCCGGCGTGCATAGTCAGACCGTGAAGGTTTCCAAAGACTTTTCCATTAATGGCTAAAAAGAGGGGAAGAGCAAGACAGAGCAAACTAGTAAGATTTCGTGTATCTCTAAATCTTAATAGGATACAAGATTTGAAAGTTAATGCCAGGCAAAAGTAACAGCTTTGAATGGGATATAAACCCAAAATATGTGATTATATTCTGTATATAAACCCAAAATATGTGATTATATTCTGTATTGAACTAGCCAGTGAGCTGCAGTTAGAAAAGTTCTTTGCTGTAAACCATTGCTAATATTGCAGTTTGTTAAGATCTGCATTTCCTGGAGCTCTTTGTAAGGGAAAGCTTTGCCAGGACGTGCTTTCAGGATGCCTGTTGCCTTTCCAGTTTATCCAGAGCAGTCGTTTGCTGACATCAAATCAAAATTTCAAATTCAATTTTTATCTTTTCTCTCACCAAAATTTCAGTGTGGACCATTTTTTTTCATAGGTTTGAAAAAAACCTAAAAATCAGTGACACTAGCAATGTTTTCAAATAGTTTGTATTAAATTTTTCAGGCCTTTTGCCCTGGAACTGGAAATTCAGAGGAGATGAGGAAGTAAAGTTTATATACAGTACTTTAAAATACATAATTTTATAGAGTTTACAGAGTTACATTAACTAAATTGGGAAACATACCATGCATTTTATTACTTTCAAGAAATTCCTCATCCTCTTTGTCAACAAGGTGCGGGTTGGCAGAATAGGTTTTAATGTTTTCGTCCAAGTACCATGACTCATTTTCATCAAAAACCATAAAAAGAAGAGCAAACTGAACTTTCTTTTCAGTGCGAAATGATGGCAAATAATGTTTGTTACACACAACAAGGGTGCCTATTAATCCACTGTAAGTGTCCTGAAATTGCAAATGAAAAAGCATATAATTGAAGTTCAAAATATGCTTTTTAATCTGTGTTTGCTAAAACATACAGGAAAGAATATATTCATTTATATTAAAAATCATTAGTCACATGAAGTTACTTGTACAAAAGCAGCAGATTTAGATTCCACAGTTGCGTGTTAGTTTTTCCCACACGTGACTGATTACCCCTTGAGCAAGATACCAAGTCTAAGCATTAAGAATGAAATCTGAGGGGATCAGTACCAACAGCGGGAGAACTGGGCAGCAAGAACGTGAAGGGCTGTGACTCTCAAATTCCGCCCCGACTTTCTTGCATTAAAGAGAGATTTCCATTCAAGGCACGAACGGCTTGACAGAGGAAGCAGTTTCAAATCCTCGTCCCTTTTGCTGTAAGTATCGATGTGTGTTGAAGTCATGAACAAAACCCTTCAGACAGGTATGAAGAATCTACCTTGATGATGTCCACCGTTGAATGGTACGCCCACGCGATACAGTGTGGATCCCCTCTCTCAGAACCAGATCTCGCTGGGATTTTCCAGACGTATATTTTAGTTTCACCTGAATTAAAGAAATATAGATGAATTTTCCTGTGTGCTGACCTGCAAGATGCTGTTGCCTCTTAAGCTTCTCCTTGTCTTGAACTTCCACTTCCCAATTACTGCCTGGCTAGCTTACTGTTATTTCCCGTCTGCAGATCCCTGATTCTTTTTACCAATGTTTGATTGTTTGGGGAGGGTGTTTGGGTTTTTTTTTCTTTTCTGTGTGTGCCTCCACTGTCCAGTTTATCATACTTAATAAAAACAATTTTCTCTTTCGTAAAGATCACAGAGGAACTTCTGAAATAATGTTTAGCATAAGCTGTGCCCTCTCTCCATAGCCAAATCTGTTTACTTTCATGAAAGGTGTAGCCACACTGTGTCAGAAAATTACTGACCTGTCAAGGACTAGAACACATTGTAATAGTGAGCAGGGCCATTTTAACTGTCAAAATATTTGTCATAATCAGTATCAAAAATTTAAGACCTTGAGGTCAAAACAAACAAACAACAAATAAGTCTTTCCTGCTGTCCTAAAACGAAATCTTGCTAAACCTTAGTGGAAGGCTTGATATCACCTACTAGAGCTAGACAAGGATGCTTTGATACCTGGGTTAGTTACAGCAACAACAGGACTGTCCGTCTTCACGCCGTGGGCATGGATAGAATAAGGTCTTGATGCCAAGTTCTTAAAAACTATTGTAATTTTATCTCCAATATTTGACATAAGCAGGGGCCCTGTTGGATTGGAAAGAAGGATTTACTTGGTTTTACCAAAGATCAAAGCAGAGAGAGGGACGGTTTGTTGTATTCAAATACACAGCAACATTGGTTTTTAACTCAGCTAAAACCTCTGCATGTCATTCACAGCAACGCGCCAGCCCAAGCAGCTGAATTGAGCCATCTAAGCAGAGACTTAAGTCTCCAAAGCTCCAAGCATCTACTTGGAAGTCAGTTTGGATGCTGTTACACAGTTTTATGCTGGCTGTGAAAATACTGACCCGGGATCCAGCAGCAAACTGGAAGGATTATTTTTGCTTGTAGAGCAAGCAATGTAGTCTTGCAAGGAAAGCACCGTAATAAAAGTAGCAATTCCACATAGGCTTAGGCACTTTGTGTGCGTAGAACTAGACTCAGTATTATTCAAACAGTATCTTCTTGTTTTGTTTCTGCTTTTTTTGGTCACATTTTGTCACTGCTTTTTTTCTCAGTTTCAAAATCAAACTTGATGATGACTATACCTTGAATTTCCAGGTGCTGCTGCTCCTCTGCTCTGATTTTGGGAGTACTGAATGTCTGATCAGTGTACTCACGATATACTACCTTTCTGTATTTTGAGCCAATGAATCTGTCTTCTTTATTTAAAAATTTATTGCCAGGGCTGGAGAAAATAAAAAAGAAAAAAAAGAAAAAGAAAGAGAAAAAATATTTCATACATTTCTTTATGTGGTTTAAACATTTTTTGCAGAGAGGTCATTTAACTATCAAAAAGAATTCCAGCTCAGTGAAACAGTAGTCTCATAGGCCACTGGTATCTTCAACATGAAACCATTCTTGTTAAGCTCAGAGGTTTCTTTTATCTTTAAAACTATAAAGAGACCACGTCTATATAGTATTTGAGAGAATGCTGAGTGCTTGGCCAGGCAGGTATTTCAGATTGCAAGAAGTCATCTAGCAACTTGTGTACCGAAAATAGAGCCCACAGTAACTTTTGTAGATCTAAAGGAAGCCTAAAACTTGCAAAGCTGAAGTGCCTTGCTGAAATGAAATGCAAGGGACTGATTCTCTTGTGAGATCATGGGGGTTAGAGACAGTGGCCAAAAAAAAGAACCTGATAACAGTATAAGCCCATATTACTTGTGCTTAGAACTAAGACAGAGTCCACTGTGGTGTGCTGGGCAAGGAAAAGTGCTATCAAGCTGAGGAAAAAGAAAAAAACACAATTACAACAATAAAAAATATAGGCAGTTACAATCTACTACATTAACTTTGAATGAATTTATGCGGGTGGAACACAAAGCAATTCATCAGTTCATTGTTTAGCCTCTGTTGCTAGTTGGCATGAATTATTTAATCCAATCGGTTCCCTCTCGTTGAGATTCAAATACTGGGCATAAAACACCAAGGCAACAAACTTCATGGTAAATGGTTCAGTCATGGACTTATCTTGTGTAAGCTAATGAAATTGAGAGGAGCAAAAAAAAAACCTTACGGTACAGCTAAACATGAGCCAAAGATGTGCTACGTAGTGTAAGCAAGGAATTATCAGGACAAAGTAGTCATTGTATATACAACCTAATGAACATTTTAAGCGTTCTGCATCGAAGACTGTACCAACATCCATAAATAATACATGCACATGCACTGTGCAGGATTCATGAAAATTTGCAGCTGGACCCGTTTCACAAATAACAAGCCATTTGTCTCACTGACACATGGCAACATCATTGTCCTGTGAGGACAGGTTGAGAGAGTTGGGCTTGTTCAGCCCCGAAAAGAAAAGGCTCCGAGGAGACCTCATAGCACCTGCCAGCACCTGCAGGGGCCTACGAGAGGGCTGGGGAGGGACTTTTTACAGGGGCCTGTGGTGATGGGCTGAGGGGTAACGGGTAGAAGCTGGAAGAGTGTAGGTTTAGGCTCCATCTGAGGGTGCTGAGGCTCTGGCACAGGTTGCCCGGGGAGGCTGTGGATGCTCCATCCCTGGAGGTGTCCGAGGCCAGGCTGGATGGAGCCCTGAGCAGCCTGAGCTAGTGGGAGTGTCCCTGCTGTGGCAGGGGGGCTGGAACGAGATGATCTTTGAGGTCCCTTCCAGCCCAAATCATCCTATGATTCTATGATTCTGTAAGGACCACAAATTCAAGTGAGCCCTAAAAATCATAGAATACATATGCAAATTATCAAATGTATAGGCAAAGAAAAAGGTTCAGTGGAGTTGCTCCTTCACGTTTTTTGCATTTTTTCCCTTGTGATATGTTCCAAAATACCTTTCCTCGTGGTATTGATGTCGCTCAAATTCCCATGTCCTGTTAGGAGAATAGTCCCATTCAACTTCCACTGCAGCAATATAGTAAATCTTTTCATGCAAATACATAGACAGGTCCACATTCCACCAATGGCATTGGTTTACTTCGTAGTGCTGTTTCATGCCCGCTGTGTAGTGATCTGTTGTCAGACACGACACTTCAAAAACTCCTAAAGGTTGTACAAGAAATGGAGACTTGAGGACAAATATCTGCTACTAATGGATCTTGAGAATGTATTACATGCACTGATTTATTGTTTAGAGACTAAGACAGGGGCTATTGCTCATACAAGACCCAAATTCTTTGTGTAGCGTGGCCTCTTGTAGGAATAAAATCCAGCATACGTAGAAGCTAGAAAAATCAAGGCACTAGGCATTAAGAGCTTACATCCTATGAATGCAAATTTTCTGCTCTTCAAACACAGTTGTACACAGTTTTAACATCCAAAGGATCTAAATATCACCTATTTAAAGCTTGTCTCTAAGCATAAAGTGTTCATATGTAGTTTCTAAACTAGTAACAGGATTATAAAATGACATTTACCTTCAGAATCAGGCTTCATAACAGCTGTAAGGAAAGTATGTGGAAACAGATTTGCTGTATCCCTTCTTGTTCCTTTAGCTGTGAATGTGTTTCCTGAGAAGTATATCCCATGGACATCGACTTCTGACCCCAAGCCCATCAAATGCCAGGAAACCACACGTCCTTTACACATCTCAAGGCCAGGTTGATTTCCGTACATATAACCATTAATGGCTGGAGAAGATTTGAGGAAGCAAAACCCACCTTAATATACACATTATTTGATTCTGCGATACATACTAAAAAACACACCCAGGGTTTAAAAAACAATTTCTAACCGTACTCCTTTTCGATGTCTAAAGCACAGGTAGCTGACCTGGCCAGCTAGAACTTCCACTGCTTTGTACCCCTCAAGTGTGCAGGAAGCATAGAGCACCCTGCGTCATACCCTGCAAGCCACACAGTGGAGACAATCTGAAGTGTTTCTTTAGTCTGAATTACTAACCCTTTCTAGCTACTACTGCATCAAATTTCCAAAGCCTGAGTCTCACAGGTACTACCGAATGCTCGGGATCAAGGTTCTGCAAACAGCAGCAATGCCCCCTCGAGGCCAAAATTTAAGAAAGAACACAAGCAAATATATTTAAAAGAACTTCTTCGCAGGACTAGGTACTGAAGATAAAGAAGTTCTCTCACAGGAAACTCGAATGATGTTTCTAGAATACCAAAATATGATCTGTGCGGACCTCGGCTCTGCCCTATTAAAGTAGCAAAGATTTTTGTTCTAAGGGGACAACAGTGCCGGTAACGGAAACCAGACTCAGCTGCAGACACAAAATGAGGCAGCACCGAGCCCTGGCTGCAAAGCTCAGCAACATCTCGTCAGGAGGTCAAGGAGCGCATCCTTCCGCTCTCCTCAGCACTGGTGAGGCCAGTTTCTGCCACTATACAGTTTCCCAGTCTCCAACATGAGATCAAAAAACGTAAAAACCTTGTTCTAGAAATTAATATTTGGCTAATAGTTTTCTTACAGTGCATTTTGTTAGACTCTTGGAAGTCCTCATCGTCTTTGTCAATTTTGTTAGCATTTAGTGCAAACATCAAAATATTGTCATCCAAGAACCAGCTCAGATTCTCGTCAAATACTGTGGCAAGTAGAAAAAACTCCACATTCACATTTTTCTGTTGAGAAGAAAAAGCGCAAAAGGAAAATAGAAAAAAAAGTGAAAAAAAAAAGTCAGGAAGAAAATTCTATGCACAAAATTATTTATAATTCACAATGTAGGACAGATGCATACATCAGTAGTTTGTTCTGATAGACTCAAAGCTCTCCAATTGCTATATCTGGGACTAGACATCTGCCGTTAATGCTCTTTTGAACAGCAGGAGCCACCTCCAGAAATGAATGCGTGTTTTGGTCTTTAAAATCTCTACATTTTTCTAGTCGTACTCATCCTAGCAGAGACCTGAATGCCAGCAGTTGCTCACTGCCATGGTGGTTTCACAATACAGTGTCTATCTGGAGCCAGAACAATTTTGCTTTTTTTAAAAAAAACAAAACAAACTCACTCCCTTCATTTTATCTGTTCCCCTCAGCACAGGGATGAGGCTGTGACGTGGAGAGGAGGTGGTGCTGAGTGGTCCTTGATGTGACTGGCCCTGAGGGCACAGTTCGGAAGGAGAAAGCAGACTCAGCAACATTGAGGCAAAAACTTCCATTTTTCTTCTTTGACTGACCTGTTTCCCAGAATCTTCCAGAGTTCCTTTCCTGCACACCAGGAGAGGACCCACGAGGCCAGAGCTGGTGTCTCTGACTGCATCCACAGCTGAGTAATAAAGCCAGGTTAAACAGTCTGGATCCTGGTCCGTGGGGCCCACGTCTTCGGGCACGCTCCACTCGTACGTAAACGTAGCACCGGGACTCACGTGAGAGGCTGGAGATTCAGTACCTGTCACAGAAATCTACATTAGGAATTAAGCCTAACAAACACTGTTTACTTTGTCACCTTTCAGAGCTTGTTCCCCGGACCCCTCACCTCTGGAGGCAGCGCCGTACGTGGCCCCTTCCTCGCTCCGGCGGTAACTCACGCCATGGGCCTGAATGCTGAAGGGGCGGCTGGCGTTGTTTCGGAAGGTTACCCTGATGCTCTCACCCACTTCAGCCCTGATAACAGGTCCTAGAAAAGAGCACACGGTCTAATGACAAGATGTTTCTATCAGCAGGGCGAGCCGAGATCCCCTGCCCCAGAGGTGCAGGTGCTCCATTGGCCAGCCAGTGGAGGTCCTACCTTACTCTCATAAATCTTTGACATAAAATGATTTTTGGCATCTTACCTAAGAGTCCAAGATGTGCTTCCTCTGCAAGTCTTACTTTATGTTCAGTGAAAGAACCATCTGTGTACTCTTTGTAAATGGCTTTTTTATAGGAGCCACCAATTCTTGTCTCACTTTGTTCAAAAAACAGGCGAGATTCACTGTGTAAAAAAAATTGCAATAGATGCAAACACTTCAAGTCATAATGTTCAGCTTTACAAAGGCAGTCAGGACCTCAACCCCATTTTCTGAGGTATAACGTGCTGAATTTGTCTTTTGGGTCCCCTTTCAGTGATCTGTTCACACAGTTACGTGCAGTGCCTTATCAAGATGTACAGGGATCCGTTATCCTTCGCTAACTACTCTTTGAGAGAAAGACACCGCGCTGTGTTGCCCTTATAAAGCCGGCATACTCAGAGACTCATCAGCACTGATTTCTAGATAACATTTCATAACCTCAAGCTTACTCTTCCTTTTATTAAAAGTTACAAATAATTCAATAACAGTAGGTACAAGCACCAAGAATATGCAACATCTAAATAGAAAGTGAGAAGAATTAGGCTGTGCTTTTGAGTCTACACTTTTACTCTTCAAAAAAGGACCTTTCGCTGTTGTACAAGCACTTTTCTAACAACAAACTTGGCCTCATTCCTTGTGCGGCCAGTAAGTATTCTGCAACTCACAGGTGAAGAACTTGAGGAATCAATATACCCAGGGAATTGATCCAGGTCTTATATATGTAAACATGGAGCAAAGGGCAAAGCTCCCTTGTGCAAGTTGTTTGCTAGCTGAGATGCCGTTAGAGTGATTTTCATCAGCTGGGAAAAGGAAAATGAATTCCGAGCTGTGTTCTCTAACTCAGCGTAGTCAAACACCTTGAATGATCAGAGGTCACTGCGTACATGTAACATTACAATTCATCTTCATCCCAGTAAAATTACTAACATTACAGCAAAATTTATAGTAAGATTACAAGGAAAACAACGTACTTAATTTAGTCTGATGTTTATCCCAGCATTAATATTTAAGCAGAGGTGTAGACAATGAGAAATTCTGCTCAAAAGTCAGTTCCATCATACCACTTACACTGTTTAGCATGTTTATATGAATTCTGCTTAGAAAATAAATTTTTTAGTTAGAAGCACTTACTTGTCAGCAATTAGTTCTTGTCCTGTAAACTGGTTCACTGCAGATGGGCCATAATTCCAGATGACCTCTTCAGCAGCAATGAAGTACTGTCTTATCTTTGTACTGTGGTTGTGATCTGTTGTGGATTTCCTACAGTCTTGTATTTTAAAAAGGGCCTGCATGCCACCTAGAGAAAAAAAATGAGGAGGCAGAGAAAATCAGAAATGAAAAGGCTATAAAAGAATGCATCCTAGCTGAGCTAGGATGTAGAAACCCAGCCATGGCATTTACGGTCAGCAGGCAGGTGTGATAAAGTGCATTCTGCTTGTAAACCTTGGAGAATGATTTTGAGTTCTGTGTTGCCACTTTTGTGAAAAACTACTCTAAGCCACTTCTATGAATATAGATCATGGAAAGGTGGGATATAGGTAATGTAAAAGTGTGGCATTAGCTTCTAAATATTTCATATGGTTATCAAACACTGGAAATACAGAAAGATACAGGCAAGAAAAATGTAGATGATCTCTGCTTATTAGCCAATGATCTTTCCACAGCACGTCTTTGTCAGCAGGCAAGTTAGCCTACCTGTCCCGTGCCCTTGCGCAAACGCAGAATGATATCCAACTCTTTTGCTGGCAAACAGAAAATTGTGATTAATTCCCTTCAGTAAGAGGCAAACATCATACTATCGCTTGTCTAAAGCTGAGGCATGCAAAAGCGTGGCTGTGCCAGTTGCTGCCAACTGATAACCATTTCCATTACAGACAATTTCCTTCATTTCCATGACTACATGCACAAGCCCATCTAATACACTTTTAGGCATTTCAACTACTATAAGAATTTTGTAACCTAGAGGAGAATGTCATCTGGCATAGAACCAGCTGAGGAGTACTGCAAAAGTGACTCAGTAAACCGCTAGCTCAAGCCAAAAAGAAAATCTGGTCACTGGAACACATTCTGTACCTTCAATGTGGTCGTTCACTTGGCAGCTGAGCAGCCATTCCCCAGGACTCTGTGGTATCATGACAGCGTCAATAAATGTGGCTGGAAAGAGGCTGATGGTGTCAACTCGATGGTGCCTTTCTATTAAGGTCTGGCCGTGAAAGTAGGCTGAATGGATATCCGCTTCGTTACCCATGGCAAAAAGATGCCATTTTACCTTATCTTCCACACACATTGTCAGGTTTGGGAGGTAGCCGTACATGTACCCGTTGATTGCTAAAAGAAATGTTATTTATTAGGGTTACCTTTGCAGACCTTAAGATCTTTTCTTCAAAAGCTGATGTCGCACAACCATTGCTCTATTCTTCAAAACGGGAAGACACACACATCGTCTGCACAACTACCTGCATGACCTGCAGTTCCTGATGTGACTCTCGAACCCAGGTCAGAGCCAAAGGCATCGCCTTTGTTGACAGTAACTGTAAAAACTTTTTCTAAACTGCCATATTATAGTATATTCAGGACTAAGGAACAGAACAAAGTAACACAACTCTGTTTAGAGCACCTGGGAAATTGAACTGGTAACAGGTGTTTTGGCACCTAAGAATTTTATATCACAACTCCAGTTTGACTGCACAACACTTGCCACCCCTTTTTAATTTTCTTTTTTTTTACTTAAAAGGATCCTAATCCTCCAAGAAAAAGCCTTGCCTAAAAAAAAAGGAAAAAAAAAGAAATTACCTACAGTTTATCTTTAAAAGAGACAACACATATAAACATTATTTCACTGTATCAACTACAAGCAACATTAATATAGTATCCTCTCACAGTGCATTTTATTGCTTTCCTGGAAGTCCTCGTCGTCTTTGTCAACTTTGGAAGGCTCAGAACAGTATGTCCTGATATTATCCTCCAGATACCAACTGAGATTTTCATCCATCACAGAAAACATAAGGATAAATTCAGCATCCAATTGTGTATCACTGCCCTTATTCATTGTATCTGGAAAAGAAAGTGGTACATTCAAAATCTTTGCCAACTGACCTTATCTTTTCATCAGTTTTAAGTGTAGAATCAGTAGGGCTGGTCACTGTTTACTTCATATTTTGCCACTTTTCTTGAGCGTGAGTGTACACATAAAAGTACAGACACATTCAGAAAACAAAAAAATGTTTTTGATACATACTGTAAAATAACTTTACTAAGAATAGATCTGGCATGTGATAAGATTACAGTAAATCTGCTTCTCAGATCAGTACTTACTAGCATGAACACACCTCACTCATATGGATCTGTTTTCTGAAAGTTATATTTGCTGTCACGCACAAAATCAAACTACTTCCTATGCTATTGAAAGGCAGCTAATTGAGAAGACAAAAAGCTGCTATTTCAAAATTAACTGTAATCTTCTCGTCTTCCAGTAAATTATTTCACTGATCAATAACCATTACCAATCACCTTGCATATGTATATATTTACTTACTTATTTATTTATGGTTACCTTTCCTGCAAATTATTAAAGGCCCAACAAGCCCTGAGGCAACATCTCTTGGAGCATCTACGTGGGAGTGGTAAACCCTGGTTATGCAGTCGGCGTCTCCCTCAGCTGGACCTTGGTCTTCTGTCACATCCCATGTGTAAGTGTACTGGCCTCCAGGCTCCACAGCATCATCTCTCTTCTGCAAATCTTTGGTGGTGTCAGGATAAAAAGCACCTGAAGAATGCCAGGCAGCCACCGTTAACACCACACATTTACAATATGGAGTCCGGATAGCACCTGTCATCCTTTAAAGTTGACTATATGTTGCAGTAACATGGACTGAACATCTGAATACAGGCAAAAAAAATTTCTTTAAAATCAGGTGAGCAGATCTTTTCCTCCTCTTTAGGTGTCTCTTAATTTGCCTTTAAATTCCATGGGAGTGCTTCAACTGATGACACACTAAATTTAGTCCTTAATTTATTTGGAGGGTACTATGTACTTCTACTAAAAAGATAACAACACAAATATTTGTAAAACATTTGTTAAAGATTAATCTTGGAAACTATTCTAAAACACTGCATGTGTCCTCAAGGAATATAGGTGTTGCTGGAATGAGAGCAAGAGAAAAAAAATTAAACGTTGTTCCAAAAAGTGCACGCATTGCCACCTACACACTGCTCTGCTCCCACAGACTGTGTCTCTATAAACCCACATGTTAGTTGTAAAGGGAAACTTCAGGAAATACAAGAAGTTATGCTGATACTTCATAGACTCTTCTAATGGAAAATTTTAAAGACTGCTTTTGCGACAACATTATATTCTCAACAATTCACACACTGTTTTTAAGGCTCACTAATAGAACTTTCGATAACCATATTCTGGTGCTGTCTGGTGCCGAAAATCCCCCATTGCCTGAGTGTGGCAAGATCCTCCATGGCAAATTACCACTCATCCCAGTAGCACCCCGCCACACAGCTTAAGGTGTGTCAGGCTTCTACCTATTACTATGCAGTGGCTGTTGCTCTATTTTAAGAAATTCTTATGTATTTAATACACAATATATACAAATCTAGTGTTAAGAATTTGGAACTGTAAGTTATCGCTCTTAACAACATCTTTGCAACAGCATCATTATTTCCCTTTAGATATCCTCAATCCTAGAATGTTTAATACTCCTCTATACCTTTATTTCAGGGGAAAGATAAATAGCCTTATTTCAGGTGAAATGTTGATCTAAAATTGCTGTCCTTATGAATTCCATTTCTGTCCTTATATTTCGCTCTTGAAAAAATAATCAAACTTCTTAGCTCCTATTTTGAATTGATTGTGTCCTGTTCGAAATCTTTATTTACTTGGCCAGTCTCCTCTTCGATGAGAGAATATCACTCACACTCAGAGGAATGATTAACTTCTGATAAATTCTGGCACAGAGCAGACCAAAGCTTACCTTCGTTTTCCTTGGTGTATCTCACACCGTGTGGATGCAGTGTGTAGTTTCTGGAAGCAAAGTTTTTCAAGTGAATAATAATAGAATCTCCAACTTCTCCCTTAATGATAGGGCCTAAAAAACCCAGCCAGGAAGGTTTGTCAACTATCATGTCATATAAGTGACTGGTGTACTGAGTGTAGACAGCCTTCTTGTAAGTGCTTCCTATCCGGTGTGGTCCTCTTTTGAGAAAGACTCCAGCCTGCCTGTAAAGATACACAAACACATCTAAAATGAGTTTGAATAGTGTTGATTATCAGAGTGTCAATAAAGACAAGGCCTCCATATCACCGTGCACAATTGTATCTGTTTTCAGGAGCAAATGTTTCTCATACCATAAAGAGCTAAGCATCCATATAGAGATTAAATATTGTGCAGCAACGTGAATTTTTTTTTACCTCTTTTGTAGACTGAAGATAAGAGTATCTGATACAATTCTGGGCAAATCTGAGACCACGTGGACAAGACAAATAACAGTTCTCATTGCTTGAAACTTTTGTTTAAATTGCTGTGTGATTTTCCATGGCCCATTTAAAATAATAATTCCCATCATCGTGCTATTATGTTGACTGCATAGTCCTTGCTCCATTGAAATGAGGAGCAGACTTCTCATCTGTAAAATACATCTAAGATGACTGGACATCAGCAAAACTACAAGTTGCTGCTAAAGTCCAGTGTGTCCACGGGCAGAGGGCATGCGGAGTGCTGAAATGAGTGAGACCTCAGCTTGCTCACCGGTCACAGATGAAAACGAATCACAGCCTCAGAGCTTGATATGGATTTATCCTAACAACATCTCATTTTTATAGATTCAGCCCAAGAATATAGAGACAGGTTACATGAGAGCAGGGAATTAGCAATGATAACCTTCTCCATCACCAAGCACAGAACCACTGGACCATTGCTCCTCCCAGTTAATGAAAGGCTTGTATTACAAACATGCTAGCAAGAGAACAGCCTGACCTCTCAGCTCATGTGAGACTGATGGAGGTGGCATTTCTCCCCTGTGGCATCGGGCCCCCGGCACCGCACAGCCACCATGGGCACATTGCCAAGCACCACCAGCCGCAGCCGAGTGGTCACCGCCATCAGCTGCGACGGCTTTGGAGCCTTTGTCTGTGCCGACGGTCAGACACCTCTCCTTCACTATCTCAGTCTCTGAGAAGATTTAACTTTGTGGAAGAAGTGCTTATATTCACTAACTATAACGGAGAGAGGAACCGCCAGCCCTGGCTGCTCAAACCAGCGGTTCTACGACTGCCTGATGCTGGTGGCCCCAACTCCAGAGTCTCTTTAACAACAAATCCTCCTGCACGTTTCCCTGCCCATTTCAGGAGGACTCGCTCTGGAGGTAAACCCGGGAGACAGACAGGGCAACAGGGCCTGAAGCTCAGCAACCTTTGGATTTCTCATCTTACATGACGAGAAACCATGCCAACTTGGTTTCATATTCCCAGAAGACCAGATTGTGCCACAAGCTAGTACTGCCCAGAAATGCAAAGTATTTCCCGCAGGGCTTAGTGCTGTTTGAGCATGTGGTGAAGGAAGTGTTTGTACCTTGGCAAGCACAAATCTGCAGTGGAATTAAAATGCCAATTCAGAGCTTCATGAAACTTTGAGAGCATAAACTTAGTTGGAAAGGCCAAGTTAGTAGAAGTCTGAGTGCATGAACCTCTTTAGCCACAAATTAAATCAAATAAATACGTTATGGTTCTTTTTGGACTGTTTAAACAGCTACCATTTAATTGTAGAGTATTCCTTCTAGCAGGTAGACTTCACTCTTCCCTCCTCTGGCTCTTCCCTGCCTCTACAAATACCAATCTCTGTACGAGCACAGTTGAATGGTTTAGGAGGAAAAGAAGAACTGGAGAAGCTGAAAATGCAAAGTACAGTAAGACGGACTGGCTCCACTGCAGGTTTACGACCACTGGAAAACTGGACTTAATTTAGCACGCTGCAGGTCATCAGAGAGCAGAGAAAAGCTGTAGGACTGCAGTGACCCGCGGTGGCTTGTTGTATTGCAGCACTGCTCTGCAATTTTCAGACAAGACGCCCTGTTTCTGCCGTTTATCAGAGCTACTAGCCTGCTGAATCACTGGCAGGGTCTTACATATCTCTCAGTTTATGATTAAAAAAAAAAAAAGTTGACTGTATCATCTCATGCCTGATGAAGTGGCAGATTATGGCTGAGATATTTTTGGATGAAGCAGCAGATTATGGTTGAGATATTTTTGGCTCTCACTAGAGAAAACAAACCACAGGAAATCTTCTAATGCCTCAACTACAGACTAAATGAGAACTATATTTTCAAGATTTTTCTAATTTCTGATCACTCTCGTCACTGTTTTTATTTTAGTATAGTCCTATTTAATTTTAAAGGCACTGAAAAAAAACAGAAGAAAGGAACATTTCTTCTCAAATATTTCTCTGATACCTTTTATATTTGAGTTTTCATTATTGATTATTCCTCCTTTCAGGGTGCTCCCGTCCTCCTCACCACACTTATCCCACTTATTGCTCTCACTCTGCACGGCATCCTCCTTGCCTTGTAAAAAGGAACCGGGTTCCTCCACCGTGAATGGAAGGGCCCAGCTGTGCTGCTGCACCAGTGAAAATGACCACTGTCAATGAATATCTAAAAAGGAAACCTGTGCCCAGTAGGAAAGTTTTACACTTGTCAGGCTTCTGCATTTAAAAACATAGCTGCAAAAATCTTCTCTTTAGCACTGGCACCTTAGCCATTCAAAATTAAACATCATTAGGCATTCAGGGTCTCTTTCTAATCTCCAACTAGTAAACATTTCATTGCAACAAATTCACAAAAATCCTACATGCTTTTAACTAGCAGAGCATTGGAATGCAATTCTAAAGCAAGCTAGGCAAAAAAAACCCCCACAATTCTCTTATATGTCTGACAGAAAGTCCACTGACATGATTTCATCTCACTGCCTTCACCAGGTTTTCAGTCTGGCCTTACTGCCTAAAGCAGACAATGCTGCAAAATCAGAGTCAACCAGCGTAAACTGTTTTACTTACTCTTCATCTGCAAAAAGCTGTCCAGATAGGATATTGGTATTGCCAGGTGCATAGTTCCACACTGTCTCTACAATGCCGATGTAGTACTCCCTGTTCACTGCCCCAACTTGGCAACAACAGCAAGAAAGCAGCAAGCAACTCAGGAGGAGCAACTTCATTTTGCATTCGTGAAGCTTGTGGAAAAATGTGAAAAAACTCCATGGGATGGGCACATGCAATTTGCCTTTATATGTCCTGGTCTTTCCCAGCCCCCTTACCTCCCACCTCCCTGCTCCTGTTTGCTTTGGTGAACACAATAAAGTGTTGCACAATGTCCCTGTGTGTCAAGAGTAAACAAAAGATTCTGGTAATCTCGTCAGTTCGGATAATCTTCAAAGAATTTTTTTCAATTTCTGCCAAGATACTATCACGCAAATTGCCATTTAGACTGCTACCAGATTGTCAATCTGCAGCTGAGCCGAAAGTACCGTAGATCTAAATGGATTTGCTGATTTAAGCTTAGTTACACTCTTCACCCTCTTTATCTCTCTCCTCGTATACTACAGAGAGAAGTGTTTCTGCACCGCGCGGCACAGGAACACAGCTCTCGAAGAGGACACTGTGAGAAGTGCTGAATATCTTCTTTTCCCGGGTGCATCGACGCTTGTGCTGCCACAACTGGCTTCCCCCTCTTCCCCGCTCGCTGGTGCAACGGCGCGGCCGGCGTCAGAGCAGAGCTCTCCCCCAGCCCACTGGTGGGTGCTGACCCACCGCAATCGCCTGTAAACGTGGTGTCACAGCCAGTGTGGAGACCCGGCGAGAGGGGAGAAGGAGCGACTGCTCACGGATGGAGGCAGCGGGTGTTTGCATCTCATTCCAAGGAGCTTCAGGACTGCCCAAAGGGAGATGAGGATCAGAAATTCCACAAAAATCCCCTATGTTATCTCGCTCCCAGCCTATCACCAGATGGGATAGGCCACATTCCTCAATGATTAAAAGAATAAGAAGTGTATATAGCTTCAGCTAATCTTAACTGTTATCCTTATCTCAATGTACTACCCAGTGCAGAAGGCTGTACTTTTGCTTTATTCAAGTTCTGTAAACACTTGGTATCTGTTAGTCTCATTGAAAAATAAGGAAAAAAAAGCACTACCTAAAGTTTATCAACCACATTTTTTTTTAACATACATCCATTATATCATGGTTGTGTCTGAAGCTTGAGACATAAAAAACCACCTGTGAACTTCCAAATCATGAAGACTTCTATTAAAAAATATGTATCTTCACTCACTTGGGAATTCTTAAAAAATCTTTTCTGCACTCTGAGCACTGACATAGTCATACTCATTCTAAACTTTATTTACGAAGATTGTCGTAAACTACAATGTCAATCACTATTCATATTAAAATTTTCAGGCTCTGTCGGATTACTGAAGTTCATAATGTCACCTTTTGGAAACTTCTACATGGCTGCACTAAATGGACAAACCTGCTTCTGTCTAAATGACTGTGACCAAAGCCAAGTTTTCGAAATCTGACCAAATCTATGATGAAATTCTGGAGTTTCCCAGGTTGGCATCGCATGCTCAGAATGATTTCTGTGGGGACTTTTTTTCTTGGCCATGGTGAAGGTCAGTGTTTCAGTGGAAAGATCAGTTTGTACTGGTTGCATATGCTCTTTCTGTAAATTAATTGAGGTAAAAATGATAAAACATTTAACTTCTCTTATGCTACTTAAGTTCAAAGTAATTCCTTAATACTCACCTTAATAGAGTTGTTTGTGCATATATAGGCTGTTTAGTTTATTTTTGTTCAAATTTCCATCAGACTAAGGAAGAGAAAAAAACCAAACAAGCAGTATCCTTGAAATCTCCACCTTCATTTGAGGGTAAAAACATGAACGTTTCTTTGCCTTAGTCCCTTGACTCCTCTAAGATACTCTTTCTTGATTTGCCAAAGAACTGCATGTTATTTTTATTTAAAGATAAAAAAAATCCTTCTGCCAGGGAAGATTTTTCCATTACTGCTTTTAATCATGCCTCACCCAAACACAAAGATGTTTGTCTGCCTGAACACACTCCTATTATCTTTATCTTAAAGCACTCAAAAAACTGACAGAGGTGACTGAGCTTCACAGGCCTATATTATTAGTTTCAGTTTGAAGTGCTCTTCAAACCTCTGATAGAACCTCCCTCCTTTGGTAGAAAGGGCCTAAATAGGCTGAGCAACTAATTTAATCAATTAAATTATCAGTCTGCAGTTTGCTGCCAAGAATAATCCCCTCATTCCTCATAATGAGCATACTGAAATGCTATGATTGCTCTGAAAGTCCTTCAAATTGCATGGAAAATATAAAGCTCATATTTTACTTCAAAAATTTTCCTTGGGGAGAAAAAAAAAAAAAAATCTGGAAAATTCTGACAAAAAAGTCTCAAGAGAAGCTCCCAGTGCGACTGAATTGAAATCCTACCATTTCATAATTCTCTGATATGATGTGTTCAGAGTCTGCTGCCCATGCTGCTGCTGTGACCTCCTGCAAACCGTTGCACATAAACACCCTTGAAAGTTCTGGGGAGCTGCATTTGTCCTCTGCTGCCTTACTCTTCTTCAACCCGGGAGAAAACCCTCCATCCAACATGTGAAGAATTGGCAGTCAGGAAATTGTACTTCAGTGAGACTCACTTTTACCTACAGAAGGAATAACGTGCCCCCAAATGCAAAGGTGGATGGAGCTTCACAGTATTTTACCACAGATCTCTGCTGACAATTATTTGTGGTCAAAACTGAGACTTTACAGCTATTTCCAGTTGCAGCGTTTTATATGAATGACATTCCTGTTCCAGGTACAGCATCATAATAGTCTGGTGGTCAAAACTGAGACTTTACAGCTATTTCCGTTGCAGTGTTTTAAACGAATGACATTCCTGTTCCAGATACAGCATCATAATAGTCTCGCTGTGAGGAACAAACAATGCTGGAACCCTTACTTCTAGGTTTTAGCATGATCTCCTCGCTCACTGAGGTTCATAAACTCACATCTGCAGCTTTCTTCTGGGGTATTCTACGTGTGGATTTCCAGACAGAGCATGTGTTCTTCAGGTTCAGGAACACTTCTTCAAAAAATGGTTTCTCATGCGCAAGCACGGTGTGAGCTTTGTCCTGGCTCTGTGGCCCACGTGCCTCCGCTGCTATCACGGCAGGTCAGTGTCTTGCAGCTGGAGAACCCCATCGTCCTGTCACCACCACCTCCAGGTCGTCAGTTATGTCTAGATGTCAAGTCGGTTAATACTCCTTACAGGAATCTTGGTTTTGTTACCAGTCACAGCTCAGAGCATCTCTTGCTAGAGACGCTGTGTTTAGGACTGAATCAGGACAGAAGTTGATTAGATCAAGTTTAACTTTGTCTTACATCCAAAAGTCCTGCATGAAAAAAGTTGTTAAATTTGTAAAAGCAACCTACCGTTAGCCTTACCACCAATTTAAAATAAACTGCCTATTTAAAAACTGAGCCATCAAGTCACCTTTGAGTCTGACTACATCAACAGAGATGCTGATATCTGGATTAGAGGTAAAGAAGGTTGCAGAATCAATATATCCAGCAAGAACTATAATACACCTCTCTTTCTTTGATTTAAGCCGCTGAAAAAGGAAATACGAGCTTGTGGTAGAGTGGAAATGTAAACTCACAAAATGCATTCACAAAAGCAGGATGAATTACAGACAGACAGGCCTTGCCAAGGGTTAGGTACAGGCACCAAAAATTCTACTATGGAAAAGCTGTGACATGAAACACTTCGCTGTGCCTCCTGTCTGCCAGCTCAAGGCGTTCTGTGCTCAGAGACTTGAGTTACTGAAAAGAGGAAGGGACACGTAAAGGAGCGAGATAAAGGGTTAAGACTTTCCAGATGTAACTTGAAGGTATTTCATTGCTTTTACCCAGCACAGCAAAATCTCTCTCAATAGACCCTGTTTGCCTAAAGATAAGCCTGTATTTTTCCCCATGGCTGAGCTGGAGCCTGAAGAGAATACCATTTGTTTGCTTTTCTCAGTGAAATGGTGCCATTCACTCTACGAATAATTACCGGTTCTAGGGGTTTTCTGCTTTGAATATCTACACCACAAATAATATTTTCCATCCGAACAACCAAACCCTTTTTTCAAATATTTCTAACATTTTCAAAATAAACAGGTCCATGGTTTGCAGGCATAAAATTGGCAAGATTCTCCAAAATGTTTAGTAAGTAGTACAGGTTGATTGTTAAATTTCCCTTCTTTACCTTCTGTTTGAAAACAATATTGACAAAAGAATATAGAGTTATCATATAAGTGGATACACTTGCGTATATTTAAGTCTAGAAAAACAAGTGTGCAGTTGAAAACTGTCCACAATTTATAATCAAACCTTTTTATCGTGCATCTCTCAATATCCATGCCACCTTGAACTGTATCCCAAAAGACTAGCCCCATTCTTAAACATCATTAATTTCTTTATTACTTCTTGCAACTTAGTAGAAGCTAAGCAACTAAAACTTCAGATGCATCAAATCCCACAGCAAGAAAGCAGCTTTTCAAAACAACCCAATAATATCAAGGCAAAATGATAAACAGGATTATACAACTGATATACGCTATCTTTTCTGAATATCTTACCCACAGCTGCTACTTACTGCATGCTTTGCACTTCTAACAGTGCCTAATATTAGATGTTGCTATAGCCAAATCCCACTAGTTCAGATGTCTCAGGGCGTTACTGCAAGCCTGAAGTACGTATTTCACTTTCCTCTGGGTGTCCATTCTCTCAAAAGCAGAATTCTGAATAGAGCCAAATGTTGCCCATGTGGCTGCAAGTGAGCCATATCTCCATTTCACTCCGAATCCCTGGATTTCCACTGGGAATGGAATAATAATTCTCTGATAAATTAATTTTTTTTAGCTGCTAATTTAAAACAGATTATTATTTTTTTGTCTGATTATTATTGTTAAGAACATTAGCCTTCCCTTGCAGCATTGTCAGGGTATTTAGAAGAGTAACACTATATAAGCCAGCTCTGAGTGCTCACAGCGTTCCCTCATATATTCCCTCAAGTCACATAATAACAAAAAAGTTTGCCTCTGAGCGTAAACGAAAAGGAAACCCAGTGCAGCTATTAACGGGTACTAATTAGCACATCTGACTTCAGAGCTGTGTATCTAATCATTCAATCAGGCCTGGGTGCCTTTCTAAAAGCCTTCCCGAAGGAAGGCTTGATAGACTTTGTTCACTAATTGCTTT